GTCGAAGAGGATGTTGCCGTCGGGCGCGAAGGGCGAGCCGTCGTAGAGCAGCAGCGTCGCCTCGCAGGCCAGGCCGGCGACCAGCCAGTTCCACATCATCCAGCCGCAGGTGGTGAAGTAGAAGACGCGGTCGTCCGGCTTCACGTCGGCGTGCAGGCTGTGCTCCTTGACCTGCTGCAGCAGCGTGCCGCCGACGCCGTGCACGATGCACTTCGGCTTGCCGGTCGTGCCGGAGGAGAACATGACGTAGAGCGGCGCGTTGAAGGGCACGCGCGTGTAGGCGATCTCGCCGGCCGCGTAGGGCGCGAGCGCCGCCTCCAGGCTCACCGCGCCGGGGAGCTGCCGGTCGGCGTCGGCCAGGCCCAGCAGCGGACAGACCACGGTCTTGCGCACGCTGGGAAGCTGCGCCAGGAACTCGCGCGTCTTCGGCAGGGTGTCGATGGTCTTGCCGTTGTAGTGGTAGCCGTCCGGCACGAAGAGCAGCTTCGGCTCGATCTGACCGAAGCGGTCGAGCACGCCCTGCACGCCGAAGTCCGGCGAGCAGGAGGACCAGATGGCGCCCAGCGAGGCAGTGGCCAGCATGGCGGCGACCGTCTCCGGCATGTTGGGCAGGAAGCCGGCCACCCGGTCGCCGGCCTCGACGCCCTCGGCCTTGAGGAACTGCTGCAGCCGGCTGACCAGCGCGTGCAGCTCGCGCCAGGACAGGCGGCGCTTGACCTTGTCCTCGGCCCAGAAGACCAGGGCGTCGGCATCGGCCTGCGGGTGGTCCGGGCCGCGACGCAGCAGGTTCTCGGCGAAGTTCAGCCGTGCCTCGGGAAAGAACTGCGCGCCGGGCATCTTGTCCCCGTCGACCAGCGCCGGCTTGCCCGGCCCCTCGCCGCGGATCTCGCAGAACTCCCAGACGGCCGTCCAGAACGCCTCGGAATTCTCGATCGACCAGGCGTAGGCCGCGGGATAGTCCGCCAGCGCCACCCCCTCCTTCTCCTGCAGGTACTGCAGGAAGTGCGTCAGGTTCGCTTCGGCCACCCGCTCGGGCGAGGGAGTCCACATCGGCTGGTCGGCGGTGGGAAACATCGCTGCTGGTCCGCTTTCGTCTCGGCTGTCGTCTCGGTGGTGTTCCAGGGGCCGGGGCAGGGATCGGGGATCGGGACCTGGCCCTGCCGCGCGGCCGGCGCGAGACTAGAGCAGGTCGGGGCCCTATGGAACCGCTTTGCGGGGCGGCGTGCCCGCCGCGCTGACGCCCGTCCCGCCCCGCTGACGCCCGTCCCGCCGCCGCCCTGACCACCGTCCCGCGTCCGGTCGCCGGCGCGTGCGCGCCCTCGCGGGCGTCCCTTCGCTCCGCCCGTGCAAGGTTGCCATGCAAGCGGCGGGGCTGGCCCGCCGCCGGCCGAGCCTCTAGTCTTGCGCGACAGATGTCAGACAACTCCACCACAACCGAGACGGCCGTCGCCCCGGACCGGGTGACGCCCGGGTGCGCGACGCCCGGACGCGCGCGGACGGGAAGCGCGGCGGCGGGAAGCGCGGCGGCGGGAAGCGCGGCGGCGGGTCGCGCGCCCCTGAGCGCCGCCGTGACCGGCGCGCTCTACATGACCGCCGCCTCGCTCGGCTTTTCGGTGATGAACATCCTGATCCGCGAGGTCTCGGCGGAGGTCGAGCCGGCGCAGATCGCCTTCTTCCGCAACCTCTTCGCCTCGCTGTTCATGCTGCCCTGGCTGCTGTCGAGCGGCGCCGCCAAGGCCCTGCCCACGACCAACCTGAAGCTGCACCTGCTGCGCGCCGGCATCGGCCTGATCGGCATGCTCTGCTGGTTCTACTCGGTCTCCCTGCTGCCGCTGGCCCAGGCGGTGGCGCTGAACTTCACCGTGCCGCTCTTCGCCACCGCCGGCGCCGCGCTGATCCTGGGCGAGGTGGTGCGGGCGCGGCGTTGGAGCGCGACCTTCGTCGGCTTCCTGGGGGTGCTGATCATCCTGCGGCCCGGCGACGGCGAGATCACCTGGCTGACCGGCCTGCCGGTGCTGGCGGCGCTCTTCATGGCCTCCTCGGTGCTGATGGTGAAGACCCTGTCGGGGCGCGACGCGCCGGCGACCATCGTGCTGTGGATGAACCTGCTGCTGACGCCGCTGTCGCTGATCCCGGCGCTGTTCGTCTGGCGCTGGCCGAGCCTGGAGATGCTGGGGCTGCTGGCGCTGATCGGCGCCGTCGCGGTGATCTCCCACATGGGGCTGACCCGCGCCTACGCCCGGGCCGACGCCTCGGCGGTGCTGCCCTTCGACTACATGCGCCTGCCCTTCATCGCGCTCTTCGCCTTCTTCCTCTACGGCGAGGTGCCGGACCTCTGGACCTGGGTCGGCGCCGGGGTGATCGCCGGCTCGACCGTCTATATCGCCCACCGCGAGGCGCGGGTCGCGCGCGAGCACACGCGGGCGAGCCGGGTCGCCGCCGATGCCGGCGGGCCGCAGGGGCGGATCTAGATGCCGGGTGCGGGGGGCAGGGGCTAGGCGATGGGACTGCGCAGCCGGAGCGGCCCGCTGGCGCCCAACCTGGAGGGTGCGCTCTGGATGCTGGGCTCCGCCCTGGTGTTCACCGCCAACGGCGTGCTGGTCAAGGCGCTGGCGGCCTCGGGCATGTCCTTCTTCCAGATCGCCCTGGCGCGCGCCGGCTTCGCGCTGCTGGCCGTGCTGCCCTTCGTCTGGGCGGTCGGGCTGCCGGCCCTGCGCACGGCCTATCCCGTCTCCCACCTGATTCGCGCGCTGGCCGGGGCCGGCGCCATGCTGTCGGGCTTCTACGCCCTCTCGCGCCTGCCGCTGGCCGAGGTGACGGCGATCGGCTTCACCACGCCGCTCTTCGCCACGGTGCTGGCGATCTTCGTGCTGGGCGAGGTGGTGCGCTGGCGGCGCTGGACCGCCACGCTGGTCGGCTTCGCCGGGGTGCTGATCATGCTGCGCCCCGACTCGCTGCTGGTCGGCGAGGGGATCGAGCTCGGCGGCTTCCTGGGGGCGCTGGGCATGGCCTTCGGCATCGCGGTGGCGGTGATCATGGTCAAGCGCCTGCCCAAGAGCGAGCCGCAGGCCGTGATGCTGCTGTGGTTCTGCCTGGCCTCGATCGCGCTGGCGCTGGTCCCCGCGATCCGGGCCTGGCAGCCGCCGACGTTGGAGCAGTGGGCGATGCTGGCGGCGGTCGGCGTCATCGGGGTCTGCGGCCAGTCGCTGGTGATCAAGGCCTACCGCGCCGGCGAGGCCAGCTTCGTGGCGCCCTTCGACTACTCGAAGATCCTCTTCGCCATGGTGCTGGGCTTCGCCTTCTTCGGCGAGGTGCCGGAGGTCTGGACCCTGTCCGGCGCCGCCGTCATCGTCGCCTCCACCCTCTATATCGCGCGGCGCGAGGCGCGCCTGGGCACCCGCAAGGAGCGCGAACGCGCCGCCGTGGTGGAGTAGCGGCGTCGCGCCCGGCGCGGCCGGCTACTCGATCACCACGGCGGTGCCGTTGGCGCTGACCATCAGCATGGATTCGCCCACCGTCTCGTAGTCCAGGTCGACGCCGACCACGGCGTTGGCGCCCAGCGCCTGGGCCTTTTCCACCAGGTCGGCGATGGCCTCGTCCTTGGCGTCGCGCAGGGCCTTCTCGTAGGCGCCGGCGCGCCCGCCGACGATGTCGCGGACCGACGCGAAGAAGTCCCGGAAGATGTTGGCGCCGATGATGCACTCGCCGGCGACGATGCCCTTGTAGGCGACGATGCGCTGGCCTTCGATCCCGTCGGTGGTGACCACGAGCATGGCGGTGGCGAGTCCTCTGCGCTGTCTGAGCCGTCGGTGGTGTCCGGCCGCCCCGGCGGGGTCCGGGCGGCTGCGGGGCGACGATAGCAAGCTTGTGCGCTGCGCGCGATGTCGTCAGCTTAGGGCCGCCATGTCCTTCGCCGCGCCCCCAGAGCCCTCCGCGCCGGAGCCGACCCCGCAGGGCGCGGGGCGGCGCGGCCTGCTCGCCTGGTGCCTTTACGACTGGGCCAACTCGGCCTTTCCGACGGTCATCGTCACCTTCGTCTTCGCCGCTTACGTGACCAACGTGATCGCGCCGAGCCCGGAGGTCGGCACCGGCCAGTGGGGCTTCGCCATGGGGCTGTCGGGCCTGGTGATCGCCCTGGCCAGCCCGGTGTTGGGGGCGATCGCCGACCAGAATGGCCGGCGCAAGCCCTGGATCGCCGCCTTCTCCCTGGCCTGCGTGGCCGTCGGGGCGCTGCTCTGGACGGTGACGCCGGAGCCGGGGGCGCTGGTCTGGGCGCTCTTCCTGGTCGCCGCGGCCAACGTCGCCTTCGAGATCGGCACGGTCTTCTACAACGCCATGCTGCCCGAGGTGGCGCCGGCGGGCATGATGGGGCGCCTGTCGGGCTGGGCCTGGGGCGCGGGCTACGCCGGCGGGCTGGCCTGCCTGGGCGTCAGCCTGCTGCTCTTCGTGCAGCCCGACGCGCCGCTGCTCGGGCTCGACAAGGCGGCTTACGAGCATGTGCGCATCACCGGCCCCTTCGTCGGCCTTTGGTTCCTGGTCTTCGCGCTGCCGCTGTTCCTCTTCACGCCCGACCGGCGCGGCACGGGCAAGCCCGCCGGCGCCGCCGTGCGCGAGGGGCTGAAGACCCTGGGCGCCACCTTGAAGGCGCTGCCGCGCTACGGCCAGGTGCTGCGCTTCCTGATCGCGCGCATGCTCTACACCGACGGGCTCAACACGCTCTTCGCCTTCGGCGGAATTTACGCCGCCGGCACCTTCGGCATGGGCTTCGACGAGATCCTGATCTTCGGCATCCTGCTCAACGTCACCGCCGGGCTGGGCGCCGTGGGCTTCGCCTGGGTCGACGACTGGCTGGGGCCGAAGCGCACCGTGCTGATCGCCGTGGGCTGCCTGATCGCCCTGGGCGCGGCCATCCTGGTGGTGGAGTCGAAGCTCTGGTTCTACGTCCTGGGCTGTGCCATCGGCACCTTCATCGGCCCGGCCCAATCGGCCAGCCGCACCCTGATGGCGCGGCTGGCTCCGGCCGAGGTGCGCACCGAGATGTTCGGCCTCTACGCCCTCTCCGGCAAGGTGACGGCCTGGATCGGGCCGATCCTGGTCGGCGGCGTCACCCTGCTGGCCGAGAGCCAGCGCTGGGGCATGGCCACCATCCTGCTGCTCTTCGTCGCCGGCGCGCTGCTGCTGCTGCCGCTGAGGGAGCCGCCTCAGCAGGCCGCACAGGGCCGGCCCGAGGACGAGGCGGCGGCGCGGGGGTAGCGCCGGCGCAGACGGCCGGCCCCGGTGGCGAGGGCGCGCAGCCCACGGCCGGCGGCGGCAAGCGGCGTGATCAGGGCGGTCGCAAGCCCGGCGCGCAGGGCGCGCGCCCGCAGGTCGCGGGCGTGGGCCAGGTGGCGGGCCAGGCCGGCGTCGCTGGTCACCACGCCGGGATGAAGCACGGCCGGGCGCCGGGGGACGGGCTGGACAGAACGGGACATGGCGGGCTCTCCTGTCGCGAGCGGGGAGGGGAGGAGCGAGCCGCGCGGCTTGCGGCTTGCCTATCGAAAGGGTATTTCCTTCCGCTGCGTCACAGAATCGCGGTCTTGTTCATAGAATTTGATATTTCAGGGAACAGATAGGGCTGTGGGATGGCAGCGGTGAACAACATCAACGAGATGGAGATCTTCGTCCGCGTCGTGCAGGCCAAGTCCTTCTCGGCCGCCGCCCGGGCCCTGGACCTCTCGCCCTCGGCGGTGTCCAAGCAGATCGGCCGGCTCGAGGACCGCCTGGGCGCCCGGCTGCTCAACCGCACCACGCGCCAGCTCTCGCTGACCGAGGTCGGCCAGGCCTTCTTCCAGCGCGCCGAGCGGATCATCGCCGACATCGCCGAGGCGGAGCGCGCGGTGGGCGACCTGCATGCCGCGCCGCGCGGCCTGCTGCGGGTCAACGCCCCGGTCGCCTTCGGCCGGCTGCACATCGCGCCGCTGCTGCCGAAGTTTCTGGAGAGCTTTCCCGAGATTTCGGTGGAGCTGACGGTCAACGACCGCTTCGTCGACCTGGTCGAGGAGGGCATGGACCTGGCGGTGCGCATCGGCGAGCTGGCCGATTCCTCGCTGATCGCCAAGCGCCTGGCGCCCAACCGCCGGGTGGTCTGCGCCGCACCCGCCTATCTGGCGGCGCGCGGCACGCCGGCGCGGCCGGCCGACCTGGAGCGGCACAACTGCATGACCTACACCTACCGGACCAACCGCCACGACTGGCGGCTGGAGCAGGCGGGCGCGGCGGAGACGGTCACGGTCTCCGGCAACCTGGAGACCAACTACGCCGAGGTGCTGATGGCCGCCGCCCTGGCCGGCACCGGCATCGTGCTGCTGCCGATGTGGATCGCCGGCCCGCAGCTCGCCACCGGCGAGCTGGTCGAGGTGCTGCCCGA